GACCAGCCATCGTTTGAGGGGTCCCCGACGTGCAGAAGACGGGCGTGAAGCATATTGCTTCTTCCCTCACTTTTTCATTATTTTTGTTTATTTAATAAATGTTCCTTTCCTTTTTGTCTTTTTTTATTACTCAATGAATGTTGTTATTTAAGCAAATTACTGTTATGGAGCCTTCTCTTAACTACATTTAACCGAATCTGAAACGAACCGCTTAGATACACTGTGTGATCCAAGACATTTTTGGCGACGAGGACGTGATTCAGGAAAATATGTAAGAGAAGGGAAAGGCAACCTGATGCTCTGGAGACGTTCCGTATTCTAGGGTGGAATGCAGTAGACTCTGGATTCGGGTCTGTAGCTAATATGTTAGAACAATTAGGACTCCCAAAAGGATGGGGGACAGTCATAACTGGAAAATGAGAGAACTGGAGGCCAGATTTCTGCGCTGTGCGAGTGCATCAAGCATTGTAGAAGTGTTAACTCTTTGTGGTCTGGTTTGAATGTACCTTTGTTTGTTGGTTGCTAAGTGTCGTCCTGTACAATTCGTGTCTTTTTGTTCCCTGGAGCTCGAGATCTGGGGATACTTTGAAATTTTAGCTTGCACTTTGGGAACGTATGGTGATTTGAAAATGTGTTGTGTGCCTGTATCATTGTGGGAAATGTATGGTTAACATAACGTCCTTTTGAGAAACCATCAGTGGCTGTATAAAGCAAAAATCTGTGAAATGTTGATTCAAAAATTTGGTTGGTAAAGCTTGGTAAAAATCTACCTTTTGGAATTGTCCCCGTGATGTGTTTGGACTTGGGTAAATTTTAATTCAAGAAGTTACCATGTTTGGAATTTCATTTTCCGGTCAGATTGAACTTCCAAATACTGTTTTGACGTGAGTGAATTTTTAATTCTGGATGATTAGATTGACTCATTGTTAATATCCAAGTGATAGGGAAATTGGAATGTTGAAAATGCAACTCCCCGTGTGCAAGGATTTTCAGAAGGGCAAATTTAACAAAGAGGTGGGCTTTTCCTTCATTCAAGGAGGAGGAGAGATGGATGATGTGCAGGAGTTTACACACCACCCCTTCTTTTTCAATCTGTAGTAGATTAATACTAGTTAACCCATTCTGCTTGACGTGGAATTGAGGGAACTTGTTTGTGTTTTTTTTAGAAATTGGAGACACTGAAGGCTGAACTCATTTGTAGAATTTCAACCTTGCAGTACAGTGATGGATGAAGCCATTCATCGATAACACATTTTAATATTGGGGAAGTACTGTAGAAATATTAATTGTAGCGAATGTCAGGGATCTCAAAACCATTGAGCCGGAGTACACTTAAGCATATCAGAACAAAAACTATATTAAGACTCACACGACCTGGTATTCTACAACATTTAAATGGAATAGTTATGTGAAAATTTAAAGGGATTCTGGGAAATGATAAAGTGCATGCACAGAGTCTCAATGGTTTCAATACATAAAAATGGTTAGTGACTTTAAGGGAGTAAACAGAATATTAAATTTGGATAAATTTACATAGAGATGTATCACATATCTAGAATGAGTCATCAAATAACTTTAAAAAACTGTGGGTCATCTTAGAGAAAGAACAAAGCATGTTGCGCCTGAATCAAACAGACATGTTTGACTTCTGTTTTAAGAAATTATAACATCATGTTCCATGGACTATAAATCTCTACAGATCTCTGGAATTAGATATGGTCATAATAGTTAAGTTGCAAAATTGGATGAGACAAAGTAATTAGGGACGGAGACTGGTGGCAGAAGACAAAAAATTAGAATAATGGGTTTAAATGGCAATTGAGGTTAAAATGCATTTAATGAAAAGGACGTTTAGATGAGAGTACCAAACTGATAGCTTTCTCTTGGAGATGTTTGTGTCATTATCTCTTTTTAAGAAAGATTGAATTGGTGATCAAGCCACTACCCAAGGCATCAGATGAAACGTCATAGATCATTTGATAAGATCATGTGGGAGTCAAAAATGCATGACATGGTCTTGGGATACCAATGCAAATATGTAAAAGTGTACGTTACCTTAAAGGTAACAAACATGAGATGGTAAAAAGCATGCACTGAAGAACAGGTCTCAGACATGAACCCCTCCTTGACAAAAGGATTAGTGTGGCTTGCAAGAGCACAAAACATAATTTAACAATTAGACACTGACACAAAATCCACAGAGAAACTGACTTTAACACAATGAAAGTAGTATTAGTGAAAGAGATGTAAAAAGAATTACAATAAAAATAAAAGGTGTGATTGGTTATTATTTAAGACGTTACAGAAATGAAAGAATATGGACTCTGGGAGGAGTAGTAGTTGACTGAGTGAAAGGGCCCATTGGATCAGATACCCCATCTTGAGTGTTTGTATGATACATGTGTTTAAACCAGTAGGTGAATTTGTAATGTGTTAGGACAGTTAGTGTATGTTAAAGAAGGCTGAGCTAAGACTGAGGTGGTGTAGGAATCTGTGGTAAGGGAACCCAAGAAAAATAAAAGGCTGGAAGCATAAGTTGAAGGTAAAGCCAATGAACGTTACAGCCATATTATTTGATACAAGAATGTTGTAGCTCAAAGGGGGTACATACATATGGACGTAGTTACCACTCAATGATACAATCATTCATAAAATTGGCAAAGGAACGAAACATATTGAAGAAATATCCTCAAGACGGATATAGATGAAAAAAGCTGGAGAAATTTTGAGTCCATGTATGATGTTATTTACTGTTATTGGGTGAAGTTGTCTGTGGATAGGGAACTGGAAAAAATTAAGGAATCTGAATCTGGAATATTCTGAATTTTACACAAATTATGTAAATAGATTATCTGAAAAAAGAACGTACAGGATATTCTGGTCACCTCAATCAGGTGGCACGACTTGCTGGTTCCATCATAGCCTAGACTGTACATCAGGGGTGGGATATATATTTAAAGGTCAGTCCCCAAAGGCCACTGTGATCATTAATTTGACGATACACACTATTGTTGTATTGATGCTCGTTATTTTCATTGTAGTTTTAATCTTCTAGTGTAGGTTACATACTCTTACTATATATTCTCATGCGGCTGTCGCTGATTTGTGTTCGCACCTGTAATTGTAACATGTGTTGTCAAATATCATCGGGGTGGATTGTATAGGATGTGCTGAAGGGCTAAACTTGTTTATGAAATTTGACAGCTGCATGAGCTTGAATGAATCCTGTGAACCTTCCTGTACATGCTGAAGATGGCACAATCAACATGTTTTTCTGTTGTTCTTTTTTCTGTGCCTTGCTGTTTGTTACACTGTATAAGAAAGACAGTCTCGTTCCAAGTCGCTGGACTTCACTTCGGACCAGGATTGCGAACAGTGCTAGGAACAACCCTCAGCCTCCAGACCAGCCGTCGATTGAGGGGTCCCCGACGTGCAGAAGGGCATGAGGCTTATTATTTCTTTCCTCTCTTTTGCATTCTTTTCATTTACTTAATAAATGTTCCTTTCTTTTTTGTCTTTTATTATTACTCAATAAATGTTGGTATTTAAGCAAATTGCTGTTATTGAGGTCTTTTCTTAACTACATTTAACCAAATCTGAAAAGAACCGCTTGGATACACTCTGTGATCCAAGACAGAATCCCACTCACATCTGTAGTTGCTTTAGCTGCTTCTCATCGTGTATGTTAGTAATAAACATGCACTGCATTGCTAAGTAGACCTGGAACACAGGAGCCCTAATTATTGGGATCCAACACTTCCATATTTCAGCAACTGCAGGGGTCAAGCATACATTCTACTCTCCCCTTACCATTCCCAAATCCTACGGATGGAATCATGCAAACAGTTAATTTCTAGCCTTTTTTTTTGGCTAAATGACCACTAAAGTGATTGGAAAGGATTGTTGTTTAACACAATATTACAAAAAAAGACTTCAAATTAAAATATAGTTTAATAACTCCATCAAAATAATTTGGTATCTCAAAGTTGACTGGCCTTCTGATCACCTTATGTCAGTTACTATGAAGCAATGATAAATTAGCTCAGTCTGCAACTCAGACCATTCTGAACTGACAAGGTGTAGGAAAAGGTGAGGAAGTAGAAAGATCATTTTAACAAACAAGCCTTATACATTACTTAATATTTGTTGGAAGATCTCATTTTTGGCAATGTAGACCTAACTAGATTGGAGGCAGGATGAGCTAATCTTGAATCCACACAATCTTCTTTACTAGATGATGAAGTCACAGGTAGGGCTAGATTTTCACAGAATCAGGAGGATTCTGTGGATCTTAAAATGTTGGGAATGTTGCTGTATCGAGATGGGGAAGTCCCACCCCCATTTCTAATATAAAAACCAAAAGAACTGCGGATGCTGTAAATCAGGAACAAAAACAAATTTGCTGGAAAAGCTCAGCAGGCCTGGCAGCATCTGTGAAGGAAAAAACAGAGTTAACATTTCAGGTCTGGTGACCCTTCCTCAGA